CGGGCGCCTGGGCTCCCGCTGGCTCTGCAGCAGCCCCACGGAGCATCCCTACATCCAGGGAGCTCCATCATCCTGAGAATTCCCTGAAAATAAACTTTAAATACACATTAATTATTCCCATCCCCTCAGCCCGTCTCTCTTAAACCAACACTATTAAATCACGTCTTAATAATCGCTAAAAATGATCATCTTAACGTCTCAACTTCTGACACCAAAGTGTCTTCGTTAGGCTGAACGCTGGCGATTTATTTTAATTTTTCTTAATTATTCTCCCCCCGCCCGGCTGAAACAGCCTCCCGTTTTTCACGCTTTTCCCCTTGGTTTTCGCCGCCAGGCCGGAGCGAGGGGACGATTCTGGGGGTGCCCCTAAATCCCATTAATTCACCCCAATGTTGGGGTTTGGGTGCCAAAGGCACCAGGGCGCGGGGAGCATCCTCGGGGGTGGATGTGGGTGCTCAAAACCCACCCCAACGACCCCTGCGGGTTTAATTAATTTAAATTGCAGCTTCGTGATCGTAATTAAGCCTGAACGGCACCACGACCCAGTGCGCGGTTTGCCCGGCTTTGCTTTTTATCATTTTTAAACCATTTTTTTGTGAACAAAAGGAGACGCCAGGCGGGTTTGGAGCTGCCCTGGTCACAGCAGACCCTCAAGGCAGCCCGTTTCGCCTCAAAATTAGTGCTTTTCGTAGAAAAGGGCACATTTTTGCCCTGGGCTCGCTCACCTGTCACCCAGCAACCGGGTTTTCCAGCGTGAAGGATTAAATATTGCGAAAAAGAAGTTGGAGGAGCTCCCTGTGGACTTTTTTTGCCTTCAGAAATCCATTTTTGGGGGGGGTGGCGGTCACTGAACTGGGGGTTTCTGGCGTGAAGGTGGGAGGATTTTTTGGGGGTGGTTTTCACAGCTTCGGCCTCTCTGTGGGTGTCACGGATCAGCTCGACGGACCTGAATTCAGGGAAAAATAACCCAAAACCTCCTTGCAACCATGCAATAGCCCTGCCCCAGATTTATAATCCCTACCAGGAGCGTCCCTCTTGCTGTGGGAGAAGCGCGAGGCAGATGGAGGCTACAACGCCATGGTTTCTCTGCTTTTCTTTAAATTTTCCTCACTGTCTTCTGGTGAAATTTGCTTCAGGGAGGAAATATTTGCGGGAGACATTACTATTGGGTTGCGGAGGGCAGAAATTGGGGTGAAAAAACATTAATTCGGGGCCTGCGGGGGGGTCGGGATCGCCTCAGAGGGGAGGCGCCCACTTCCAAAATGGCGGCCCGCGCCCGCTTCCAAAATGGCGGCCGCTGCCCTCTCCCAAAATGGCAGCTTCGCCCTCAGGCAGGGCGAGAGGGAAGATGGCTGCGGCCTCCTCCTCAGCGTGGGGCGGTCAGGGCAAGCGGGGCGAGATGGCCGCGGCCTTCCCCTTGCTGCCAGGATGGCCCTGCTCAAGATGGCCCCTGGGGGATGAAGCCCATCTTGGGTGCGGGCAGCCAGCCAGCATTGCCACGGCGACGTGCCCTGTCAGGGGGCAAAGCCCCCCAAAAGGGCCGCTGTGGCCCAAGGGGGGGACAGGGCCATTTTTGAGGCGTCTGTGAGCCCCAAACCCCTCACGGGGCTCTTAAACACCTTTGGGCCGTGCTCCTTGCTGGCCCAACATCCCCAACATGCCAGCAGCCACCCCCGTTGACAGAAAACCCCCCTTTTACCCCCAAAACCAGACCCTTTCCCTGCTTGAAAGAACCAGGATGGCCGCCGCAATGCGAAGCCATCAACAGACTGGCAGCCTGGTCCCCTCAGTCCACACTTGTTAAAACATCCCCCAGTACCCTCCCCCGGCACCAAATTTGGGGGTTTTGGCCCCAAAGTGGTCCCTAATGTGTTTATCACCAATAAATTTATGGGGCTGTGCTTGCAGCCCTCTGAGAGGAAAATGTCTCCCAGGGGCACGTCCCCATCCCCACGGAGGGGCAGGCGAACCCCGAAACTGTCCTTTTTTCCACAATTCGAGGGAAAAAACACCTCGGTGAGCATTTTTCACTCTGCAAGGTGTTTTTTTTTTTTAATTTCCGCCCAGGGACGCCGTTGCTATTGCCGCCAGAGGGCCCTGGCAATTGTGCAGAGCTCTTTTCTCCCCTCTCTTTTTTCTTTCCTCTTTTTTTTTTTTTTTAATTCCTTCCTTCCTTCCCCCCCCTTTTTTTTTTTTTTAACTCTTATTGGCCCCTCACTTCCCCCCTGCCTCATTTTTTGGGGGGGAAAAAAGGGGGTTTTGGGGGGGGAAAAAGTGTTGGGGGGCATCTCCGGGCTTTGCCGACAGCACCTCCCAAGCCGGAGACTGCAGGTAACGGGGAGGTTCGGTCTTTGGATGCGGAGAGGGAGCGGAAAATGGCTCCTTTTTTTTTTTTTTATCCCCTTCCTTTCCTCCTCCATCCTTCCCTTCCTCTCTCCTCCCGTCCCCTCCGGCTCTCCTCTCCAGGGTGCCCGCACACACACCAGGCTTAAACTCAGTGCCCGGATGCTCTCCATCCCCGGGGTGGGGGGAAAAAATAATTTAAAAAACCCAAAACCCCATTGAAAACCCAGCCCCGTTGTCTTTCTGCAAGCGTCCGTCCTTCCCCCCTCGCTGCATTCGGGCGGGTGGGTTTCATTTATGGACGGGCTGCCAGGGGGACCGGGGAGTGGAGATGTCTGCGAGAGCATGTGGTATTAACCCCTTTATTTTTATTTTTTTAGCAGGATGGCAAACTACCGGGGAATAAATGAAGCGGGCTGAGATGCTGGTGGGGGCTTCAAAAAAAAAAAAAAAAAAAAAAAAAAAAAAAAAGCAAAAATTGCAGGAGGGATCTGCAGTCCGTGCTTGAAATCGCCCTTTTATTCCTGGCATCAGTAAGTCGGCAACAACCTTCTGCAAATCCACCTTTTCCCAACCTATCTCCCCAGTCCTCCGCAGCTGTAACAGCTCTGCTGCTAGAAAAAAAAAAAAATAAAACAACCTACGCATTGGGATCCTAATACGCCCGCGGCTCACAGAGGAGGATGAGGAAAAGGTCAGGGAAGTGGTGGGAATTTGCTTTTAAATGATTTTTGCAAAGGAGGGCACCAAACCCTCTTTCTACAGCTGGGAAAACTCATGTTTTCCCCCAAGCACCGGCTCTGAGCACTGGAGATTTGCGTAGAGAAATAACTGGGTGATTTATCCTCTTTGAGGAGAAGCGATTGCTATCAGGTTTTTTTGGGAGGGCTCTGGAAAATTTGGGACAGGAGTCTCTGGGAAGGTGAAGGATCCTGTGGATGAGCCCCCGGGGTTTGGTGCAGTGGGAATTAGATAAAATCTGGGTGAAAATGAATTTTAGGGTAAGGATCTCTCAGCAGAGTGTTGTCTGCAGGTTACAGAAACATGTTCTTCATGGGCTGGGTTTTATCTCTTTTTTATTTTTTTTAAGGAATCGTGCTGCCTGCATTTCTCTTTTCCCCTTCTGCTTCCTCCTCCCCATTAACTTTTGGGGAAAAAAAAAATCGTTCAGCCAGATCTGATAGAGGCAGAGGGTATAAAGTTCCTGCAGGATTTGGGAAAATACATGGTGGGGTGAAGGATGGAGGTTTTTATTAGCTGCCTGTCCCCATGCCTTACCCCCGTTTTGTGATTCAGCTTAGCGTTTCTATCAGCTTATTAGAGAATAATAATCTATTAGGTTATTAGAGAATCCACGGGTTAATAAAATAGAGGGTTTTGCATGAAGAGTCCAACCGATGGGTGCAAATCCGCAGGATGATGGCTGGTGATGAGTTGCACACTGGGCTCTGCTTACGGGGGGTTACCTCCTTTTTTCAGGGGGTCTGCTGGCACCAGCCATGGAGCCGTACGTGCTGCTGGACCCGCGACAGAGAGCGCTGTATCGCGACGTGATGCAGGAGAGCTACGAGACGCTGATGGCGCTGGGTGAGGAGCCTGCCCCTCCTGCAGCAGAAAACTGGGGTAGATGGAGGATCCGGCTTGCTGGATCCTCACCTCTTCATGCAAGGGATGCTGGAGTTGGGGGGCTGCTGGGGAGGGCAGACCCTCCTGGCCCATGTTGCTCATCCCCCCTCTCTTTTCCAGAATTCCCTGTTTCCAAGCCTGATCTGCTGTCCCGCCTGGACCATGGGGATGAACCTACAGCCCTGGATCTCCACGTGCCCAGGGACACCCCAGCCACAGGTGAGCCTCCGATCGTGTGAGGAAAAAGCCTGGGTTCGGCTCCTGCAAGTGTGGAGGGCTTCCCTCCATGACGGCCTGTCCCCAAAATGGGCAAACCCCCGCCGTACCCCAGGCTGCAAGCCCTGGTTTGGCCATGGCATGGAAGAAAGACGCTGGGGAGGAGAGCCTGTAGTGCCAGAGGGATGTCCTGGTTAAAATGGAAATGCCAGACCCCCTTCCTAGACAGCCGCATTTCTGGAGAGCTCCACGGAGGTGCAGTGGAGGTGGTGGTGGATTAATTACCATGTCCATGTTGGTGGCAGAGGGGAGCTATGGGGATCAGAGATGCCTCTGCTAGAGGTGCTTACCTGGAAGAGCATGTGAAATAAAAAAGGAGGAGGAATCCTCCTTGCTCTCCTTTTCCTACCATCTTCCCATCTTCCCAGCCCCGGGAGAGACGATGTCTCCTGCCTGGGTTGTGTCTGTCTCTCTTTGTGCCCCACAGAGGATGGAGCAGGAGTGGAGCAGGAACCCCCTCGAGAAGAAGCTGCTGAGAAAGAGCCCGAAGTGGTGAAACCTGTGGGCGAGGAGCATCCTTCGAGCCCCGCCGAGGCCGGGGCGAAGGCGGGCAGGAGTGGGGGACCAGGGGAGACGGCCACGCGCCCCAGCGAGAGCCAACCCAGCAACACATGCGGCGAGTGTGGGAAGAGCTTCAGCCACAAGTCAGCCCTGGTGAAGCACCAGAAGATCCACACCGGCGACCGCCCCCACGAATGCCCCGACTGCGGCAAGTGCTTCATCCAACGCTCGGACCTCACCATCCATCAGCGGGTCCATACGGGCGAGCGGCCCTACGCCTGCCCCGACTGTGGGCGCCGCTTCAGCGTCAGCTCCTCCTTGCTCACCCACCAGCGTACCCACGCTCCCGGGGGGGAGAAACCCAACCGCTGCCCCCAGTGCGGCCGCAGCTTTGCTGATCCGGGAGCCCTTGACCGGCACCAGAAGAGCCACCTGGGTGGGAAACCCTACGAGTGTGGGGTGTGCGGGAAAGCCTTCGCCTGGAGCTCCCACCTCGAGCGGCATCAGCGCATCCACACCGGCGAGAAGCCCTTCCAGTGCGCCGAATGCGGGCGAGCCTTCGCCTGGAGCTCCCACCTCGACCGCCACATGCGCACCCACGCTGCCGTCGCCGCCTCCGAGGATGAGGAGGATGGGGAGGCGGAGGAAGAGCCCCCGCCACCCCCCCAGAAATGCGCCGACTGCGGCAAGCGCCTCAACCACCAGACGGACCCCCAGCGCTTCAAGCACAAGGGCACCCAGACGCCGCCGGCAGGTGCCGAACCCGCTGGCAGCCCCCCGCGACCCTACCGCTGCGAGCAGTGCGGCAAATGCTTCGGCCAGAGCTCCAACCTCCTCAAACACCAGCGTGTCCACACCGGTGAGCGGCCGTACCCCTGCCCGGATTGCAAACGCTGCTTCCGTTGGGGCTCAGCCCTGGCCAAGCACCGGCTCACCCATGCCCGGCCGCAGCAAGCCGGTGATGCCGCCAAAGCCGTGCCGGCAGCCACCGAGGAAGCCGGCGCTGGAGGAGGCGGCAAACCCTACCCATGCGGGGCGTGCGGGAAGAGTTTCGGCTGGGTCTCGCACCTGGAGCGCCATCGCCGCATCCACACCGGGGAGAAGCCCTTCCGCTGTGGGGAGTGCGGGCGGGCGTTTGCCGTCAGCTCCCACCTGGAACGGCACCGCCGGGTACACACCGGCGAGCGGCCCTACCGCTGCGGCGAGTGCGGGAAGAGTTTCGCCGTTAGCTCCACCTTGCTGGCTCATCGACGCACCCACGCCGCCCAGCCGGGCCGGCCCCACGCCTGCCCTGAGTGTGGCAAGGGTTTTAGCACACCAGCCAGCTTGGAGCGGCACCGGCGGCTTCACCGGGGAGAGAAACCTTACCAGTGCGGCATCTGTGGCAAAGGCTTTGCCTGGAGCTCCCACTACGACCGGCACCGGCTCACCCACACCGGCGAGAAACCCTTCTCCTGCGCCCACTGTGGCAAATGCTTCGGTCGCAGCTCCCACCGCAACCGACACCAGCGTGCCCACATGCAGGGCGGCCCGGAGAAGCGGCATGTCTGTCCCGAATGCGGCAAAGCCTTCAGCCTCAGCACAGCCCTGGCGGCTCACCAGCGACTGCATGCCGCTGCCACCGGCGGCCGCAGCCCCCTCACCTTGCTGCCGCCTGCGTGGTGGGATGGCGAGAGGCGAGGGGGGACACCCACCCCCTCCGAGCTCTGGCCCGAAGAGCCCAGCTCTGTTTTCCAGCAGCACCCTGTGCCTTCCTCCTCCTCTTCCTCCTCCGCAGCCCCCAGGGGCTGGGCCACCAAAGCTCTCCTGCCCCCCACCATGGCATGGAGGCCTGGGGAGGGGGACACCCTGCAAAGCGATGCCTCTGCCCCCCAGGAGCCCTGGGCTTCCCTGCCTCCCCCCAGCTCCTGAGATGGGGTCGTGGGGACCGAGGGGGGGCTGCTCAGAGCCACCGTCCACCTTTGGGGACGCCCCACGGCCGAGGTGGGAGGCTGGCTGAGGGGGCACTGGGAGGGCGAACGGTGCGTGCTGGGGGGTAGCAACCAGCATAGGGGCTTTGGGGGGAGACTGGGAAAGGAGGGACAGGGGCGGCTGGGGGGGGATTTGGGGAGGGCTGGGTAATAATTTAGGGCAGTGGGGAGACAATACCTCTCCCTATAACCCTCCTCATCCTCTTCCTCGCTGTTGGGGGGGGCAGAAGGGGTGTGACACAGCTTGGGCATATAGGAGGGGACCCATCGGTAAAATCACCCAGGGAACCCCCTTCCACAGGGGGCTTTTGGGGGCAAATGGCTCGGAAAAGAGCCACAGGGACCTGCATCAGTCACCAGCTCTGCTCCTTCCTTGCTGGGACCCCTCAAATGCTGCTTGGGTTGTGCCAAGGGTGGTTTGGGATGCACCGAGCCGGGAATTTGGCAAGGGTGGAGAGGCCGGGTTTCCTCGGCTTGGGTTAGCAGGTAATAAAGTAGAAGGTAGTTCAGCAACAAAGAAAAACCCCTCTGCCTGTCTCAGCGTGTTTTTGTCTCTGGAGAGGGAGATGATGTGGTGTTTCCTACCAGGAGCAGGGAAAAGCGACGGAGCCCGGGGTTGGTGCACAAGGAGAGCCAGACAGAGGCGACTGCAGGGCACGGGGCTCCCTTTTTATTCCTCGCCCCACGCCGGCACCTCCCACCGCCGAGCCCACTGCACCCTCAGCATCTCACCCTCTCCATCGGCGCAATGCGGCATCCCCTTCTCCAGCCTGCCAACAGCAAGGAGCAGGCACAAACGACACCGTATTTTGGCACAAGAACCGGCCCTGGGTTACCCCCATCCTTTTCTGGTGGAGAAGAGCACCATTTCCCTCGGGAAGAGGCTCCCTCTCCCCCGAGATGTCCCTTTCCCGGGTCTCCTTCGCAGCAGGGGGCAGGCACCAGTCACCCATCGCTGCTGGGAGACATCAGGAAGGATAAATCCCACCCCGATGCCTCACTGGAGCAGCCCCGTCACCCACCCCAGTGCCACCCTCCACCCCTTAAATGTCACTTGGTGTCCTTGGATTTGTCCCCAAGCCGAGTTTTCCCTTGGGCACGGTCCTCCCTCCCCATCCATCGCACCAATATGGGGGTCTCGGTCCTTCAGGGCTCCTCGCCGCTGCGGGCTCCGGGTGGCTTCACCAGCCCCGCGACGCTGTGGGGCTTCTCCCCCAGCAGCTGGGTCCTGGAGGGGGGCAGCGGTTGGGGGGCGAGGGGGAAAGCGGCCTTGGGGAGGTGGCTACGGCGGTGTTTGGTGAGGTGGGAGCTCTGGCTGAAGGCTTCGCCGCACTCGGGGCACTCGTAGGGCTTCTCGCCGGTGTGGACGCGGCGGTGCCGCTCGAGGTGGGACGCCCAAGCGAAGCCCTTGCCGCACTCGCTGCAGGTGTAGCTCTTCTGGGCGGCGTGGCCCCGCTGGTGGGCGAGGAAGGGGGGAGCCTCGCCGAAACGTTTGCCGCAGTCACCGCATTTGTAGGGTCGGTCGGGGGAGTGGGTTTTGCGGTGCTGGAGGAGGTGGGCTTTTTGGGCGAAGCGCTCGCCGCAGCTGATGCAGGGAAAGGGGCGTTCACCCGTATGCACCCGCCGGTGCCGCTCCAGGTGGGACGCCCAGACGAAGCCCTTCCCGCAATCGGCGCAACAGTGGGCACGCTCCCGCCGGTGACACCGCTGATGCCGCGCCAGCGCCGGCCCAGCTCGGAAAAGCTTGCCGCAGTCGCCGCAGCGCAGGGCTTTCTTGCCCAGGTGGGTGCGGCGGTGACGGGCCAGGTCGGAGCTCTGGCAGAAGGTCTTGCCACAAGCTGGACAGCGGTGGGGCCGCTCGCCGGTGTGGCTGCGGCGGTGCTTGGCGAGGTGTGAGCCTTGGCTGAAGGCTTCGCCGCACTCGGCACAGCGGTAGGGCTTCTCACCGGTGTGCACCCGCCGATGCCGGGCGAGGTGGGATGCCCAAACGAAGCTCTTGCCACAGTCGCCGCATTTGTGGGGTTTCTCGGCAGCGTGGCCCCGGCCGTGTGCCGCCAGCTCGGCAGCGCCGGCGAAGCGCTTGCCGCAGTCACCGCACTTGTGTGGCCGGTCGCTGGCGTGGGTACGGCGATGCTGGAGGAGGTGGGAGCTCTGGCTGTAAGTCTCGCCGCACTCGGGGCAGCCGAAAGGCCGCTCGCCGGTGTGCACCCGCCGGTGCCGCTCCAAGTGCGAAGCCCACGGGAAGCTCTTGCCGCAGTCGGCGCAGCCAAATGGCCGTTCCCGTGCCGGTCCCTTGTTGGCCGCCCCGCGGAGGGGTTTGGCACAGTCCAGTTTGGGGACTGCCGTGGCTTTGGGCATCTTGGCAGCGCTGTGTGGCACGGCTTTATCCGGACGCTTCATCTTCCGCCTGTTTGAGCCGAGGGTCTTCTCCCTCTCCGGGCTGCGGGACGAACACGCTTCGAGCTCCTCACAGCTCTCCTCCGCTGCTCCTTCCTCCGCTGCTTTTTCACTCACCAGCCCCTGTGCTGCTGGGAAGAGGGGAAAAGGAGAAAAAGGGGAGAGCGTAGCCTCGACCAGAGCAGGGGGTGGCATTCAAATCAATGGTGCAGGAATGGGACTCCCATAAAAAAGCTGGTGTCCCAGAGAGAAAGAAGAGAGATGCGATGGGAGACCCGATCCCAGTTTGAACTGGGAATGTGGGAATGCTAAGCACACCTCGTTGCCCGTATTTCCAATTTAAAAAAAAATGCAGAGAGATCAATAACATTTTCATGCGGAAAATTCAAGGAGAGAGTGGGGATTTGGGGAAATCCCCCTCGAAACCTGCCTGGATTCTTCCTCCCCTCTTCCCATCCCGCTCGCAATCCCTTTGCTTCCCTGCCAGAGACAGGAAAAAAAAGAGCAAGGAAAAAAAAGGAGGGGATGTTCAAGAAGGAAAGAGGATTTTGTGTGTTTGCTTACCGAGGGACATCAGTGTTTCATAGCTCTCCTGCATCACGTCCCGGTACAGGGCCTTCTGCCGTGGGTCCAGCATCACCCATGGCTCCATGGTGGGGAGAGGCACAGGCAGCTGGGAGAAAGAGGGTTTCTCTCTTCGTTCCTCGCTCAGGGCTCCTCAAAATCCCCTGTGGGGAAGAGAAATCCCTTGAAATGAAGGAAATCCCCCGTGTAGTGCTTCTCGCTTGGGTTTTGATGCTTTTTCTGGGGGTGCCTTGAGAAACGTCGGGGTTTTTTTGCCCTGGGTTGCAGCACATGGACAGTCCCTCCGTCCAGGGCTAAGCCTGAGCCTCCACGGAGCAGCTTGGGGATGGTGGGGGGCAGGAGGGTCCCTGTTTCCCCCCATCGTTCTGGCAGACCACATCCCACAGCAATCTCTGCCCTCCTCCCTCCAGCATCCCAGTTCCCCCAGTCATCTCACTGTGTGCTCCATCCCCAGGGAGCCCTGGATGCATGCAGGGACCAGGGCTCCCGCTCTGTCCTGCTTAGCCACCGTCCTCTCCCCAAAGGAGCCGCTGCTCCTGGGAACACCCCCAAGGGCCGGATCCTGCAAGCTGCAGCCCTGATGCAGCTCAGGACCCGCTGCAGAGCAGGGGCACATCCCTGCCCCAGGTTTCTCCCTGTTACCTGGAGTCCCCGGCTCAGGACTTGCTGTCGGCTGAGCCTGGAGCTGCCTCCGCAGGACTTTCCTTGGGAGAAGAGTCCCCGCTTCCCAGGCTGAGGCTGCAAGGAGGGGGGGATGCACAGACCCCCTCCTTGTACCCCGAGACCGCTGAGCCTCCTGACAGCAGGGCACAATGGAGGCGATGCCGGGCATGGCTTTGCTCCGGAAGCCCAAGCCGGTATCCGGGAGAGAGGAGACGCCAAGAACAGGCTCCTCGGCAGCAGCGTTTACCCAGAGCCCTCTAGAGGTAACCCAACCCCGGCTTCCCCCCCATCCCAACCCTCCCCGCAGGCTCCCCAGCACCCACGGGGGGCACACGGGACCCCGCTACAGTCCTGCCCCATTGCCCGTGTTGCCCCCATGCTTTTCCCTTTTACCCAGCGGTTTTGGAGAGCCCCGGCCTTGCTAGGAACTCTGCCAGGAGGGTCGTGACAGCAGCAGCGGGGATATTTGAGTATTGCAACCATGGGAAAGCGTGGGAAGGTGATGGGGGTCTCTCTGGGGCAACAGGGCATCCCCCAGGTGGGAGAGGGGGACACCGGGCTGGTTGCCCAATCAGCATCAGGGATGGGAGCTGTGCAAGCAAGAAATTAGTTTTTCCAGCTGGAAAAGTGGCCCAAACTGTGTTTTCGTCACGTGGCTGGTGAAAACGGACTGTTTTCCCCCAAAACTCCAGGCTCAGGAGCCATGCGCTTGCGGGTGGGAAGGAGGGGAATTTCCACTTACCAAGTAATCCCTCCTTGTTGCTGGAGGAGGGGATCACGAAAGCCAAGGATAACACAAATCTGCAAACAAGAAGATAAAGAAATGCAGCAGGGGAATGAGAGAGGAGCCTGGATTTCTGCCTCTGAGAAAGCCCAGGAGATTTGAAACCACGCAGACGCTTTTCCCTACGGTGGGTGCAGGGGTTTTGGTGGTGGTTTAATCCCTCCCTGGCTGGGAAAAGCCGGGAGTGGAGGGGAAGCAATAATTTTCTTTTCATTTGCTTTGGAAAGGGCTCAAGGATGGGGAATTATCCCTAAATCCTGCCCTCCCTAGTGCACAGGCATTTAACCCCTGCCTCCCCACCGCAGGAGGGAGTGGAGCTGATTTCTACAGCCTCCCTGATCCTCTCTCCCTGCTCCATCACTCCTTGGCTGGTGGCAGTGGACGGATGTCCCCAAAGGAGACCGGGGGACCAAGCCCTGGTGCTGGGGGACACCGAGCAGCCCAGGCGGCTCTGGGAGTGTTGCAGCTCGGTTGGGTATGGGAGAACACAGGAAGGGGCTGGATAAGTTGGATGCTGAAGGCGGAGGGGAGAAGGGGGCTCTCCAGGGATCCCACATGGGCTCGGAGCAGGGGCTGTGGCAGCGGGTGCCGGCATGGGGCAGGCAGAGCCCTGCCTGCATCCCCAGGCCCATCGAGGCACGCAACAGCCCTCTGCCCCGGGGCTCTGTCCGCACCAAATCCTGAGCCAGAGACTCCAGGTGATGGGCACAGGGCAGGAGGGAGAGACCCACACGGGCTGCCCTGCCTCCCAGTCCAGCCCCAGTCCCTGTACTGGGACCAGTGCAAGGAGCAGAGAGGAGCACCAGTCCCTGCCCTTGCCCCATCCCTGCGCATGGGGTTGTGCCACAAGAGGGCATGGGAAGACCAGAAGTGCTCCCAGGACCTGGCTCTTTCCTGGTGATCCAAGCAGCAGATCTGCTCCCAAGAAGGTGGAAAAGGTCCGGCAAGGCTGAGCTCTGCTGGGCAAGGGCTGGCTGAGCCTTCTCTTGTGTCCCGAGGGGAAAAACCTCGCAGGAGCGAAGGAGGCTGCTTCTTCCCTTGCACGGGTGTCCATGCAAAGGGCACTGCCTGGGTTTGTCCAGGGTTTTTTCCCAGTTTTTCCCCCTGGGGAACAGCTCAGCACCTCCTTCTCCCTCCATAGGCTCCAGCAGAGCATCCCCATCGCTGCCGAGAAGGATGGAGAAGGACATGGCCACAGAAGAGCCAGCAGAGGTGAGGGAGAGTCTCTCCTTCGGGGTGGGCAAATGCATTTCGGCTGACCTGAAACGTCGGTGCCAGGTACATTCTGCCCGGTCTGGTGGGGCTGTACAAGCTGCTCTGTGACTGTAGCTGTGGGTTGTCCCCTTCCTGCAACTCCCTTTGAACCAAGAGGTCCCCATACACCAGTGGCGGTCAGGGTGCAGGAGAGGTGGTGAGGAGCAGAGGATGGAGCCCGTGGTGGGCATGCTTCAAGGCTGAGCCTGGATGCAAAGCTGCCGTAAGGGTTTCTCTGAGCTCCCCTGTGTCAGAAACACAGGGAAGGTGGGAAGTCACAGGAGGGCATGGGGTTTTGTGTCTCCACGTGACAGGAAAAGGCACAGAGGATGGGGTGGAGAGGTTGAGCCCAGCCTGCTTGAGCTCCTTCCAGCTCCATCCCCCTCATCAGGCATTGCTGGGTGTTTAACAACCCTCAGTGTTTTCCAGTTTCTTTTTTTCCTTCCCCATAAGCTTACCCAGCTGCTTTCTGAACCTGTGTGGCCCTTGAGCATCCGTGATGTCCTGCAGCAAGACTTTCCACAGCTTAACTACACCCCATGGGGAACGATACCTTGATATCTCTGATCCTTGCCAGCATCGTTCCTGGCTCTCCTGCAGCTCTGCTGAACGTAGCCTTGGCTCCTCTCCCTGCTGCCTTGAGCTGACGCACGGTGGCAGGCGCTGAGCTGGGAAATCCTTGTTGTTTCAGTGTCTAGTGGCCTTCAAGGAGGTGGCTCCGTACTTCACTGATCCCGGCCAGCGGGCACAGTACCGGGAAGCCATGCAGGAGAGTGCTGGAAATGGCTCCTCTTTGGGTAAGGACACACCTTCCCTCCTTGTTGGGCTAAGTCTTGGGGTTGGGACGCTCCTCTAGACTTTGGAGGTGAAGGAGACTTTCCCCATTGCTTCTGGCAATTGTGCTTCCCCCTTGGGACACATTGGGGACCCATAGCATCCTCCATCCCCACCTTCTTCAGAGGAGCACATGCTCTACCACATCAGACCAATGGTCCATCTGACCCCATGTTCTCTCCAACCATGGTGGAAGGAGATGCTGTGTAAGAGAACAAGGAGACCGACCTTTCTCAGCTGTGCCCAGCCCTTGCATCATCCTTTCTCCAGCAGAGCCCCCAAATCTCTCGTAGTAGCTCCTCAAACGCACCCAGACCTCTGCTCTGTCTCAGGAACCAGCTCTGCTGACCTTCAGCCTGACAGGATCTCCTCTGGGCTGGAGTTGAAGATGTGGACCCCAGCTCCCCAGGACACAGATGCAAAGCCCTTCTCTAACAACTCTTCCACAAGCAAGGAACTGGCTTAAATAACCTAGAAAGCATCTGGGAGAAAAGCAGAACACCTGGGACTTCCACCCAGGCCCTAAGACACCCACCTTGAGCTTGGTATCTTCTAGGAGAGGGGTCCCAGAACCTCTCCTGGTCCCCTGGGAGATGTTGCCTCCAGATGCACATTGGAGGGGAACTCTCAGCCCATGGGAAGCAAAGGCAGAAGTTCTCCTTTTGGGTTATGGAGGGTTTTAAGAGCTGGGGTTTGAAGCTGAACTTCAGCCCAAGCTTCTCCAGCTGGCCAATAGTCAGTGTTCGGGCCTGGGCAGAAGGTGGAGCTCACATGAGCTTTCTTCATTCTTGGCTTTCCCCGGCCCTGCTTCTTTGGTGGGTTCCCTTTTCCATCCCAGCCAGGGACTCACTTCATGATCTCTTTCTCTTTCCTCTGCAGGGGATGGGACGGTGAGTGGGGCGAGGGACAGTGCCACACGCACAGACCCAGACATCAAGACCTGCCTGGCGGACATCTCCCAGCACCATGAGCCAGCCAACATCCACCAGAGCTCCCGAGAGAAAGGCCAAGAGGAGGTCCAGGGTCATCCTGGGACGGAAACTCCAGGGACATGCAGGGAGTTGCTGTTCTCCCATAGCCATCACCCCAGGGATAGACCCATCCCTCATCCCACCAGCGAGAAGAGCTTCTATCCCCGGAGACGGGGGTCCCAGCACCCCTGCCCTGACTGTGGGAAAAGCTTCAGGATCTTCTCCAACTTGCTCCATCACCAGCAGAGCCATGGTGGGGACAAGCCCTACAAATGCCCTGACTGCGGGAAGGGTTTCAGGCACAGCTCGGCGCTGGTGACACACCGCCGCATCCACACGGGTGAGAAGCCCTACCAGTGCGCCGACTGCGGCAAGAGCTTCAACGTGGTGTCCAACCTGATGCGCCACCGGCGGAGCCACACCGGGGAGAAGCCCTACAAGTGTCCCGACTGTGGCCGGCGTTGCAGTCAACGTTCCCACCTGGTGACCCACCGCCGGTTGCACACGGGCGAGCGCCCGTACCCATGCCAGGAGTGCGGGAAGAGCTTCAATGTCAGCTCC